ATTGGCCTAATCATACCACACACAAGATAAATAATCATTTGGCAACTGTATGTAGGCATTTGTATTGGGTGTTTATACATACATACATATGTATGTATGTATGTATGTATGTATGTATGTATGTATGTATGTATGTATGTATGTATGTATGTATGTATGTATGTATGTATGTATGTATGTATGTATGTATGTATGTATGTATGTTTGAATATGTTAGCATTTATTTAGTGTTATTTTCGAGATGTGGTTTTTGATCCGCCAGCTCCTTATATTTAGTTTAGTTTTCTTCTTTCATAGTGCCTTGTTTTTGATATGTCTCGAGGAACAAACATGATGCCTTTAAGGTTTTGGCCAGGTTGTGGCAAGCATTTCTTACTTAAATAAGGGCAAGGCAAGACTTTGTTGCAATATGTTTTCTGCATATATATTCATTTTAAAAGGATGGGTTTGCATATTTAATACTAATATTTAACATTTCATTATCATTTTGCGTTATATTTTCAAGCAAAAATCGCAGTCAACCTTAAATCTTATTGAAAATATGAAATTACATAGAACAAGTCATATGCCGACCTAGCGCTGAAGCATTTAAACATGTAAAACAAAAGACTTAAGCTACAAACCTCGTGTAATAACACCACAATTTCTAGTTTATCAAAAAATCTAACAAAAACTTTTTCCATAAAAACTATTTATTTAACTAATTAATTACCTGCCTTTTAGCCTTGATTTAATTAAAACAAATCTCTCATTAACCTTTACGTTTCTTACCATTATGATTCATTTTACATTTTTTTCAATTTACAACTATATTTTTATAACGTTTTAACCTTATATAGTTATCGATTAATAACATATATATATATATATATATATAGCAAATCTTAAGCAACAACTACAAAAAAACCCACAATCTCATTTATAATGTCTTACAACCCACATATTTTATTTCCTTTTTCTTTACACTCTTCCATTTACACTTCATAGCAATACTTTGTTTTTATATTTCTGTTGTTTTTCTTTTAACAAGCAAAAAAATGTTTATTATAAATTATTTTATATTTTTACTTAAGTATTTATAATAAGAGTGAAATAAAATAAACAAACAAATAAACGTACAACAAAAAAAACGATATACCATTCAGTTATCTTTGCTTATTAGGCAACAATCATTCTAAAATATCAACGCCAACTGACACACTACATCATCATGAGATCATGGTCTGAAACAAAAACTCTAGCTGGAAATAAACTGTAATACTTGTATTAATAAAGTGAGCGTGTTGAAAAAAAAAACAACTTAAAAGATCTTTTGTTTTAAACAGGCTAGAGAAATGACAAGAAAATGAAATTAAATGAAATGATGATGATGTTGAGTCAAAGTGGGAAAGATTTTTTAGTGTATTTATAATGACCAAGAAAGTGAACTACAAATTAAAAGCATTCCGACCTTAATCAAGTACGATTCCGAATAGAATTGAACTAGAATCTAAAGCTGAACAAAACTAAAGTATAACTGAACTAGAACTGAACTAGAACTGAACTAGAACTGAACTAGAACTGAACTAGAACTGAACTAGAACTGAACTAGAACTGAACTAGAACTGAACTAGAACTGAACTAGAACTGAACTAGAACTGAACTAGAACTGAACTAGAACTGAACTAGAACTGAACTAGAACTGAACTAGAACTGAACTAGAACTGAACTAGAACTGAACTAGAACTGAACTAGAACTGAACTAGAACTGAACTAGAACTGAACTCGAACTGAACTAGAACTGAACTAGAAACTGAACTAGAACTGAACTAGAACTGAACTAGAACTGAACTAGAACTGAAACTAGAACTGAACTAGACTGAACTAGAACTGAACTAGAACTGAACTAGAACTGAACTAGAACTGAACTAGAACTGAACTAGAACTGAACTAGAACTGAACTAGAACTGAACTAGAACTGAACTAGAACTGAACTAGAACTGAACTAGAACTGAACTAGAACTGAACTAGAACTGAACTAGAACTGAACTAGAACTGAACTAGAACTGAACTAACTGAACTGAACTGAACTAGAACTGAACTAGAACTGAACTAGAACTGAACTAGAACTGAACTAGAACTGAACTAGAACTGAACTAGAACTGAACTAGAACTGAACTAGAACTGAACTAGAACTGAACTAGAACTGAACTAGAACTGAACTAGAACTGAACTAGACGAACTAGAACTGAACTAGAACTGAACTAGAACTGAACTAGAACTGAACTAGAACTGAACTAGAACTGAACTAGAAACTGAACTAGAACTGAACTAGAACTGAACTAGAACTGAACTAGAACTGAACTAGAACTGAACTAGAACTGAACTAGAACTGAACTAGAACTGAACTAGAACTGAACTAGAACTGAACTAGAACTGAACTAGAACTGAACTAGAACTGAACTAGAACTGAACTAGAACTGAACTAGAACTGAACTAGAACTGAACTAGAACTGAACTAGAACTGAACTAGAACTGAACTAGAAACTGAACTAGAACTGAACTACTGAACTAGAACTGAACTAGAACTGAACTAGAACTGAACTAGAACTGAACTAGAACTGAACTAGAACTGAACTAGAACTGAACTAGAACTGAACTAGAACTGAACTAGAACTGAACTAGAACTGAACTAGAACTGAACTAGAACTGAACTAGAACTGAACTAGAACTGAACTAGAACTGAACTAGAACTGAACTAGAACTGAACTAGAACTGAACTAGAACTGAACTAGAACTGAACTAGAACTGAACTAGAACTGAACTAGAACTGAACTAGAACTGAACTAGAACTGAAGTAGAACTGAAAGTAGAACTGAACTAGAACTGAACTAGAACTGAACTAGAACTGAACTAGAACTGAACTAGTTAGTTAGTTAGTTAGTTAGTTAGTTAGTTAGTTAGTAGTAGTTAGTAGTTAGTTAGTTAGTTAGTTAGTGTTAGTTAGTTAGTTAGTTAGTTAGTTAGTTAGTTAGTTAGTTAGTTAGTTAGTAGTTAGTTAGTTAGTTAGTTAGTTAGTTAGTTAGTTAGTTAGTTAGTTAGTTAGTTAGTTAGTTAGTTAGTTAGTTAGTTAGTTAGTTAGTTAGTTAGTTAGTTAGTTAGTTAGTTAGTAGTTAGTTAGTTAGTTAGTTAGTTAGTTAGTTAGTTAGTTAGTTAGTTAGTTAGTAGTTAGTTAGTTAGTTAGTTAGTTAGTAGTTAGTTAGTAGTTAGTTAGTTAGTTAGTTAGTTAGTTAGTTAGTTAGTTAGTTAGTTAGTAGTTAGTTAGTTAGTTAGTTAGTTAGTTAGTTAGTAGTTAGTTAGTTAGTTAGTTAGTTAGTTAGTTAGTTAGTTAGTTAGTTAGTTAGTTAGTTAGTTAGTTAGTTAGTTAGTTAGTTAGTTAGTTAGTTAGTAGTTAGTTAGTTAGTTAGTTAGTTAGTTAGTTAGTTAGTTAGTTAGTTAGTTAGTTAGTTAGTTAGTTAGTTAGTTAGTTAGTTAGTTAGTTAGTTAGTTAGTTAGTAGTTAGTTAGTAGTTAGTTAGTTTAGTAGTTAGTTAGTTAGTTAGTTAGTTAGTTAGTTAGTTAGTTAGTTAGTTAGTTAGTTAGTTAGTTAGTTAGTTAGTTAGTTAGTAGTTAGTTAGTTAGTAGTTAGTTAGTTAGTTAGTTAGTTAGTTAGTTAGTTAGTTAGTTAGTTAGTTAGTTAGTTAGTTAGTTAGTTAGTTAGTTAGTTAGTTAGTTAGTTAGTTAGTTAGTTAGTTAGTTAGTAGTTAGTTAGTTAGTTAGTTAGTTAGTTAGTTAGTTAGTTAGTAGTTAGTTAGTTAGTTAGTTAGTTAGTTAGTTAGTTAGTTAGTTAGTTAGTTAGTTAGTTAGTTAGTTAGTTAGTTAGTTAGTTAGTTAGTTAGTTAGTTAGTTAGTTAGTTAGTTAGTTAGTTAGTTAGTTAGTTAGTTAGTTAGTTAGTTAGTTAGTTAGTAGTTAGTTAGTTAGTTAGTTAGTTGTTAGTTAGTAGTTAGTTAGTTAGTTAGTTAGTAGTTAGTTAGTTAGTTAGTTAGTCAGTTCCCGTACTACTATTGTTTCAAATATGATCCATTGCCAATCAATCTTCTAGCTTTGAAATTCAATTCTTCCCAACCAACTTCTCAGAAACGTAGCGTACCATTCGGATAATAAAACAAACAAAGTTAAACAAGCCAAGAAACACCATTTAATGTTGTCGTTTAACCAGACTTACCACAAAACAAGTTCAAAATATAAATACTTTAAATCAACAATAATTGCAAAAAATCTACAAAAAAAAACAACTCATAGAAAATATAAAGCATACTTAAGCTAAAAGCTCTCTCATTCTCCTCTCATAGACACACACAGATACTTATTCAATACATTAACATTTTCGGTCAATAAAATGACAATGACACAACGTTAATGAGGGCTCAACTCAGATAAAAAAAGTCTTACTAAGCAAGCGACAAAATTAAAATATGAACCAATGATTGTATTTTTTACTCGTGATAATGACAACTAAAATTATTTTTAATTATATGCAATTAATGTTAGTAATAAAGTATGTTGAATAATGGTGTTTTTTCTTTTATTAAACAACTAAAGACAGAGACAAATTAGATTTTTTTTTTTCAAATATTTTTAACACTAAGTTTATTTTATACCAAATACGCTGCATTTATTTAAAAACCATTAAATTTATTTGGGTTAAAAGCTGTGTTAAATTGCTTAAAATCAAATTTACCATAAATTATTTATTTGACGCAATTCAAATTAGTGCGAAATTTAAAATCTGATTTAAAATTCAGTCTAAATAACATCGATAATAAAATTATACAGTGGTTTAGCAGAAAAGAAGCTTTTACAGAGTTTGATCTAAAACTTTTTAAAGGTTCAAATAACTTGCAAAATACTCGAAAAACTTTAACACTACTATTCATTTCAAAGCCAAAGAATTTTACTTAATAAAAAATACAGTTTTTATAAATAAATAAAAACTTTATTTATTTAAACAATTCAAAATTTGTACATTTTTTCCATAAAAATATTTGCACTTTCTAAAATAAAAGTCCAATAAATCAACAAAAAAATTCCACATAAATTACATAAACACATTTCTAATCAAAATCAACATTCATATCTTTGATAACAAGATCACGTATGTGACTTCTCTTAATTTTATCGGAGCCCGTTTTGGGTAGAGTATCAAAGAAATAAACACCACCATGCAAGTGATAGTATTCCTGCAATTCCTCACTCACCACCTTCTTAATCAAATCCTCAGTTAACTTTTCACCCTCAGGAGTTTTGGCACGTACCACAGCACAGGCCGAGACATTGGCATACAAAACATTGGGAATGCCAAAGACACAGACCTCTTGTACACCGGGAATTCTTAAGATGACATTTTCTATTTTCTCAGGATAAACATGTAAATTGAATGACTTATAGACATCTTTATCGCGGGCACAAATATGCAAAAAACCCTGTTCATCGAAATAGCCCACATCTCCTGTTGAGAACCATTGATCTTTGAAAACCTTTTCAAAGGCCTCCTGGTTATTCATATAACCCAACCAATTATAACGGAATTTAATGTGTATTTCACCGTGCTCATTAATGCCCAAAGCTTTGCCATCCTTATCTAGAATCCGTACTATCTTATTGGGCAACAGTTTGCCATCGGAACCCTTGAGACCACGACCCAATAAAACATAATTATTCGTGAGCAAAGCAGATAACTCGGTCATACCATAGGCCACCACAAATCCAGGTTTTTTCGTATTATCATCTACAAGAGCATTAATAGTTTCATAAGTAACTTGTGGTACTTTGGAACCACCACAGAGTATAGTATCTATGGATTTCATGCAATCCTTCCATTCTGGTTTATTTAAAAGTGCGATTTCAGTCATATTCACGGTACTATTAATCATATGGGTCACCCGATGACGCTTCACCACATCCATGAAATAGTCGGGTGTAAAGGGTTTGGTGGTGACGATACGCAAGCAACCACGTAAAAGTGATTCCTTCAAAGTCCAAAAGCCAGAAACCCAATAGATCGAGCTGAAGGAAAAGGCAACCGAGTCGGTACGGAGGGTGTGGCTAAGAAAAGAAATGTTTCAGAATTTGAATTTGAAGTGAAATAGAACATAATTAGAACTAGAACTGAACTAGAACTGAACTAGAACTGAACTAGAACTGAACTAGAACTGAACTAGAACTGAACTAGAACTGAACTAGAACTGAACTAGAACTGAACTAGAACTGAACTAGAACTGAACTAGAACTGAACTAGAACTGAACTAGAACTGAACTAGAACTGAACTAGAACTGAACTAGAACTGAACTAGAACTGAACTAGAACTGAACTAGAACTGAACTAGAACTGAACTAGAACTGAAATAGAACTGAACTAGAACTGAACTAGAACTGAACTAGAACTGAAGTATAACTGAACTAGAACTGAACTAGAGCTGAACTAGAACTAAACTAGAACTGAACTAGAACTGAACTAGAACTAGAACTAGAACTGAAATAGAACTAGAACTGAAATAAAACAAGAACTGAACTAGAACTGAACTAGAACTAGAACTGAACTAGAACTGAACTAGAACTGAACTAGAACTGAACTAGAACTGAAGTATAACTGAACTAGAACTGAACTAGAACTGAACTAGAACTGAACTAGAACTGAACTAGAGCTGAACTAGAACTGAACTAGAACTGAACTAGAACTGAACTAGAACTGAACTAGAACTGAACTAGAACTGAACTAGAACTGAACTAGAACTGAACTAGAACTGAACTAGAACTGAACTAGAACTGAACTAGAACTGAACTTGAACTGAACTAGAACTGAACTAGAACTGAACTAGAACTGAACTAGAACTGAACTAGAACTGAACTAGAGCTGAACTAGAACTAAACTAGAACTGAACTAGAACTGAACTAGAACTGAACTAGAACTAGAACTGAAATAGAACTAGAACTGAAATAAAACAAGAACTGAACTAGAACTGAACTAGAACTGAACTAGAACTGAACTAGAACTGAACTAGAACTGAACTAGAACTGAACTAACTGAACCATCGAAATGCTCTCATAATACTTACTATACTCTTTGATTCAAGGCCGCCTTATGAGACATGCATACACCTTTGGGAGGTCCTGTAGTGCCCGAGGAACAACTAATTGCCGCACTATAATCACCATCTATATTCGAGCAGGGAGGTCTATAGCAATTGTATACAAACTATAAGCAACAATTTTCTGTGAAAATCCCTTTTAAACTTACACAAATTCTTCCAATTCCTCATCACTATAATCGCCCAATAATTCTTTAACATTGGGTAGATTTGCAACCTCACCATTCACAATATAAATGCGAGCATTTAAATTCAGATTTTCATTAACATTTACAGCTGCCTGATAATTGGCCACATCACAAAAAATAAATTTAGGACGTGTTACCTTATAAATAACTTCCAATTCAGCTGAAAAGAAAATGGTTATGAAACGTTTGCATTTGTTACATAACACCGCCAACAAAAAAAATACCTTGATCAAATAGATCAAAAACAGCATTTATAGCGGCACCACTCAACCAAACGGCCAATATAATCGATGACAAGTAATGAGAATTGGTGGCATATAAACCCATAACATCTCTGGGCTGTACACCCAATTTAACAAATGTTTTACAAATACTCAAGGCATTCTTCAGCAACTGTTCTCCCGTTAACTCTTCCCCAGTGTTGTCTACATATTGTAATACTTTTTTACGATTCTGTTGCAATACTGTAATAATAGCATCACCCAAAGTCATATCAGGTCCATAAAAGTCCTTTTGTTTGGGACCATACCAGGTCTTAGTGTTTTCATCGTAATAAGTTTCGCAGACAACAGCGGAAAGAGACATCTTTACGGTTTCAGTGTTTTAAGTGCAACTAAAATGACAAATTTTGGGTTTTTGGACAGATTGTTCTTATCAAATAGAAAATTTAAAAAGAATAAAAGAATTTTTGAAAAAAAAAACTCAATTGCCGATTAAGATTATTTTGTTGTTGTTTGATTAAAACAATTGTTTAAATAAAACTATTGCGAATTATGAGAAAGCAATATTTTTTACTCGTGACAATGACAATTAAAATTATTTTTAATAACTAGTAAAATAAAAACTACAATTTGTTTATAAATAAAAATTTAATATAAATTGATTTATTTAAACAATTTTAAACTTGTACAATGTACATGCATATTTATCTACAAAAACAGTAGCACTTTCTAAAATAAAAGTATAATAAACTCTAAAAAACACAATTTTAATCAAATTTAATATTCATATCTTTGATAACAAGATCACGTATGTGACTTCTCTTAATTTTATCGGAGCCCGTTTTGGGTAGAGTATCAAAGAAATAAACACCACCACGCAAATGATAGTATTCCAACAGTTCCTCACTCACCACCTTCTTAATCAAATCTTCAGTTAACTGTTCACCTTCAGAATTTTTGGCACGTACCACAGCACAGGCCGAGACATTGGTATATACAAGATGGGGAATGCCAAAGACACAGACCTCTTGTACACCGGGAATTCTTAAGATGACATTTTCAATCTTCTCAGGGTAAATGTGAATATTATAGGACTTATAGACATCTTGATCACGGGCACAAATATGCAAAAAGCCCTGTTCATCGAAATAGCCCACATCACCAGTTGAAAACCATTGATCTTTGAAAACCTTTTCAAAGGCCCGCCTGGTTATTCATATAACCCAACCAATTGTAACGGAATTTAATGTGTATTTCACCGTGCTCATTAATGCCCAAAGCATTGCCATCTTTATCTAGAATTCGCACAACTTTATTAGGCAACAGTTTGCCATCGGATCCATTGAGACCACGGCCCAATGAAACATAGTTATTGGTGAGTAAAGCAGCTAATTCGGTCATGCCATATGCCACCACAAATCCAGGTTTTTTTGTGTTATCATCTAAAAGTGCATTAATAGTTTCATAAGTAACTTTAGGTACTTTTGAACCACCACAGAGCATGGTATCTATGGATTTCATGCAATCCTTCCACTCTGGTTTATTTAAAAGTGCGATTTCAGTCATATTTACGGTACTAATAATAACATGAGTCACCTGATGACGCTTTACCAAATCCATAAAGTAGTCGGGTGTAAAGGGCTTGGTGGTTACGATACGCAAGCAACCACGTAAAAGCGATTCCTTCAAAGTCCAAAGCCAGAAACCCAATAGATCGAGCTGAACGAAAAGGCAACCGAGTCGGTACTGAGGGTGTGGCTAAGAAAAGAAATGTTTCAGAATTAGAATTTGAAGAACTTAATTAGAACTAGAACTGAAATAGAACTGAACTAGAACTGAACTAGAACTGAACTAGAACTGAACTAGAACTGAACTAGAACTGAACTAGAACTGAACTGGAACTGAACTAGAACTGAACTAGAACTGAACTAGACTGAACTAGAACTGAACTAGAACTGAACTAGAACTGAACTAGAACTGAACTAGAACTGAACTAGAACTGAACTAGAACTGAACTAGATCTGAACTAGAACTGAACTAGATCTGAACTAGAACTGAACTAGAACTGAACTAGAACTGAACTAGAACTGAACTAGAACTGAACTAGAACTGAACTAGAACTGAACTAGAACTGAACTAGAACTGAACTAGAACTGAACTAGAACTGAACTAGAACTGAACTAGAACTGAACTAGAACTGAACTAGAACTGAACTAGAACTGATCTAGAACTGAACTATGAACTAGAACTGAACTAGAACTGAACTAGAACTGAACTAGAACTGAACTAGAACTGAACTAGAACTGAACTAGAACTGAACTAGAACTGAACTAGAACTGAACTAGAACTAGAACTAAACTAGAACTAAACTAGAACTGAACTAGAACTGAACTAAACTGAACTAGAACTGAACTAGAACTGAACTAGAACTGAACTAGAACTGAACTAGAACTAAACTAGAACTGAACTAGAACTAAACTAGAACTGAACTAGAACTGAACTAGAACTGAACTAGAACTGAACTAGAACTGAACTAGAACTGAACTAGAACTGAACTAGAACTGAACTAGAACTGAACTAGAACCGAACTAGAACTGAACTAGAACTGAACTAGAACTGAACTAGAACTGAACTAGAACTGAACTAGAACTGAACTAGAACTGAACTAGAACTGAACTAGAACTGAACTAGAACTGAACTAGAACTGAACTAGAACTGAACTAGAACTGAACTAGAACTGAACTAGAACTGAACTAGAACTGAACTAGAACTGAACTAGAACTGAACTAGAACTGAACTAGAACTGAACTAGAACTAAACTAGAACTAAACTAGAACTGAACTAGAACTGAACTAGAACTGAACTAGAACTGAACTAGAACTGAACTAGAACTGAACTAGAACTGAACTAGAACTGAACTAGAACTGAACTAGAACTGAACTAGAACTGAACTAGAACTGAACTAGAACTGAACTAGAACTGAACTAGAACTGAACTAGAACTGAACTAGAACTGAACTAGAACTGAACTAGAACTGAACTAGAACTGAACTAGAACTGAACTAGAACTGAACTAGAACTGAACTAGACTAGAACTAAACTAGAACTAAACTAGAACTGAACTAGAACTGAACTAGAACTGAACTAAGACTGAACTAGAACTAAACTAGAACTGAACTAGTACTGAACTAGAACTAAACTAGAACTGAACTAGAACTGAACTAGAACTGAACTAGAACTGAACTAGAACTGAACTAGAACTGAACTAGAACTGAACTAGAACTGAACTAGAACTGAACTAGAACTGAACTAGAACTGAACTAGAACTGAACTAGAACTGAACTAGAACTGAACTAGAACTGAACTAGAACTGAACTAGAACTGAACTAGAACTGAACTAGAACTGAACTAGAACTGAACTAGAACTGAACTAGAACTGAACTAGAACTGAACTAGAACTGAACTAGAACTGAACTAGAACTAAACTAGAACTAAACTAGAACACTAGAACTGAACTAGAACTGAACTAGAACTGAACTAGAACTGAACTAGAACTGAACTAGAACTGAACTAGAACTGAACTAGAACTGAACTAGAACTGAACTAGAACTGAACTAGAACTGAACTAGAACTGAACTAGAACTGAACTAGAACTGAACTAGAACTGAACTAGAACTGAACTAGAACTAAACTAGAACTGAACTAGAACTGAACTAGAACTGAACTAGAACTGAACTAGAACTGAACTAGAACTGAACCAGAACTGAACTAGAACTGAACTAGAACTGAACTAGAACTGAACTAGAACTGAACTAGAACTGAGCTAGAACTGAACTAGAACTGAACTAGAACTGAACTAGATCTGAACTAGAACTGAACTAGAACTGAACTAGAACTGAACTAGAACTGAACTAGAACTGAACTAGAACTGACTAGAACTGAACTAGAACTGAACTAGAACTGAACTAGAACTGAACTAGAACTAGAACTGATCTAGAACTGAACTGGAACTGAACTAGAACTGAACTTAAACTGAACTAGATCTGAACACGACCTTTGACCCTGCATGTAAATGATAGAATAAAGTTCTCTTAATACTTACTGTAATCTTTGATTCAATATCGCCTTATGAGACATGCAGACACCTTTGGGAGGACCTGTAGTGCCTGACGAACATGTAATTGCCGCACTATAATCGCCATCTATATTCGAGCAGGGTGGTCTAAAATAATTGTATACGAAACTGTAAATGACATTTTATAATAAAAATCTCCTTTAAACTTACACAAATTCTTCCAATTCCTCATAACTATAATCACCTATTAATTCTTTAATATTGGGTAGGTAGATTGCCACTTCACCATTTACAATATAAATGCCTGCATTTAAATTCAAATTTTTATTAACATTTACGGCTGCCTGATAATTGGCCACATCACAGAAAATAAATTTAGGACGTGTACCTTATAAATAACTTCCAATTCGCCTGAAAATATAACAAAAGATTATGAAATGTTTACATTTGTTTTATTACTCTGCTAAACAAGAATTACCTTGATCAAATAAATCATAAACAGCATTTATAGCGGCACCACTCAACCAAACGGCCAATACTATCGATGACAAGTAATGAGAATTGGTGGCATATAAACCCATAACATCTCTGGGTTGTACGCCCAATTTAACAAATGTTTTACAAATACTCAAGGCATTCTTCAGCAACTGCTCTCCCGTTAACTCCTCCCTAGTGTTGTCTACATATTGTAATACTTTTTTGCGATTTTGATGTAATACAGAAATAATCGCATCACCCAATGTCATATCAGGTCCATAAAAGTCTTTTTGTTTAGGACCATACCAGGTCTTAGTGTTTTCATCGTAATAGGTTTCACAAACAACCGCGGAAAGAGACATTTTATCGCTTTCAATGTTTAAGTACAACTAAGTAAATGGCTTATTTTGGGCTCTCTGTACTGAATTGTATTATCAATTACAATATTTAAAAAATAAAAACAAATTGTGTTGTAATACAATCTATTGCCGATTAAAATTGTTTGTTGTTATTAGATTAACAAAAATATTTAAATAACACGGTGGCGAATTGTGAGATAGCAATACACTCAAGATAAAATGTTAGTAAAAATAAATATTATTTGTTTTTTTTATTATTTATTAAAAACTTTCGATAAAGTTTATAGTCTAGATAAGTTCAGTTCTAGTTCAGTTCTAGTTCAGTTCTAGTTCAGTTCTAGTTCAGTTCTAGTTCAGTTCTAGTTCCTAGTTAGTTCTAGTTCAGTTCTAGTTCAGTTCTAGTTCAGTTCTAGTTCAGTTCTAGTTCAGTTCTAGTTCAGTTCTAGTTCGTTCTAGTTCAGTTCTAGTTCAGTTCTAGTTCAGTTCTAGTTCAGTTCTAGTTCAGTTCTAGTTCAGTTCTAGTTCAGTTCTAGTTCAGTCTAGTTCAGTTCTAGTTCAGTTCTAGTTCAGTTCTAGTTCAGTTCTAGTTCAGTTCTAGTTCAGTTCTAGTTCAGTTCTAGTTCAGTTCTAGTTCAGTTCTAGTTCAGTTCTAGTTCAGTTCTAGTCAGTTCTAGTTCAGTTCTAGTTCAGTTCTAGTTCAGTTCTAGTTCAGTTCTAGTTCAGTTCTAGTTCTAGTTCAGTTCTAGTTCAGTTCTAGTTCAGTTCTAGTTCAGTTCTAGTTCAGTTCTAGTTCAGTTCTAGTTCAGTTCTAGTCAGTTCTAGTTCAGTTCTAGTTCAGTTCTAGTTCAGTTCTAGTTCAGTTCTAGTTCAGTTCTAGTTCAGTTGTAGTTCAGTTCTAGTTCAGTTCTAGTTCAGTTCTAGTTCAGTTCTAGTTCAGTTTTAGTTCAGTTCTATTCAGTTCTAGTCAGTTCTAGTTCAGTTCTAGTTCAGTTCTAGTTCAGTTCTAGTTCAGTTAGTTCAGTTCTAGTTCAGTTCTAGTTCAGTTCTAGTTCAGTTCTAGTTCAGTTCTAGTTCAGTTCTAGTTCAGTCTAGTTCAGTTCTAGTTCAGTTCTAGTTCAGTTCTAGTTCAGTTCTAGTTCAGTTCTAGTTCAGTTCTAGTTCAGTTCTAGTTCAGTTCTAGTTCAGTTCTAGTTCAGTTCTAGTTCAGTTCTAGTTCAGTTCTAGTTCAGTTCTAGTTCAGTTCTAGTTCAGTTCTAGTTCAGTTCTAGTTCAGTTCTAGTTCAGTTCTAGTTCAGTTCTAGTTCAGTTCTAGTTCAGTTCTAGTTCAGTTCTAGTTCAGTTCTAGTTCAGTTCTAGTTCAGTTCTAGTTCAGTTCTAGTTCAGTTCTAGTTCAGTTCTAGTCAGTTCTAGTTCAGTTCTAGTTCAGTTCTAGTTCAGTTCTAGTTCAGTTCTAGTTCAGTTCTAGTTCAATTCTAGTTCAGTTCTAGTTCAGTTCTAGTTCAGTTCTAGTTCAGTTCTAGTTCAGTTCTAGTTCAGTTCTAGTTCAGTTCTAGTTCAGTTCTAGTTCAGTTCTAGTTCAGTTCTAGTTCAGTTCTAGTTCAGTTCTAGTTCAGTTCTAGTTCAGTTCTAGTTCAGTTCTAGTTCAGTTCTAGTTCAGTTCTAGTTCAGTTCTAGTTCAGTTCTAGTTCAGTTCTAGTTCTAGTTCAGTTCTAGTTCAGTTCTAGTTAAGTTCTAGTTCAGTTCTAGTTCAGTTCTAGTTCAGTTCTAGTTCAGTTCTTGTTCAGTTCTAGTTCAGTAGTTCAGTTTAGTTCAGTTCTAGTTCAGTTCTAGTTCAGTTCTAGTTCAGTTCTAGTTCAGTTCTAGTTCAGTTCTAGTTCAGTTCTAGTTCAGTTCTAGTTCAGTTCTAGTTCAGTTCTAGTTCTAGTTCAGTTCTAGTTCAGTTCTAGTCAGTTCTAGTTCAGTTCTAGTTCAGTTCTAGTTCAGTTCTAGTTCAGTTCTAGTTCAGTTCTAGTTCAGTTCCAGTTCAGTTCCAGTTCAGTTCTAGTTCAGTTCCAGTTCAGTTCCAGTTCAGTTCTAGTTCAGTTCTAGTTCAGTTCTAGTTCTAGTTCAGTTCTAGTTCAGTTCTAGTTCAGTTCTAGTTCAGTTCTAGTTCAGTTCTAGTTCAGTTCTAGTTCAGTTCTAGTTCAGTTCTAGTTCAGTTCTAGTTCAGTTCTAGTTCAGTTCTAGTTCAGTTCTAGTTCAGTTCTAGTTCAGTTCTAGTTCAGTGTAGTTCAGTTTTAGTTCAGTTCTAGTTCAGTTCTAGTTCAGTTCTTCTAGTTCAGTTCTAGTTCAGTTCTAGTTCAGTTCTAGTTCAGTTCTAGTTCAGTTCTAGTTCAGTTGTAGTTCAGTTCTAGTTCAGTTCTAGTTCAGTTCTAGTTCAGTTCTAGTTCAGTTCTAGTTCAGTTCTAGTTCAGTTCTAGTTCAGTTCTAGTTCAGTTCTAGTTCAGTTCTAGTTCAGTTCTAGTTCAGTTCTAGTTCAGTTCTAGTTCAGTTCTAGTTCAGTTCTAGTTCAGTTCTAGTTCAGTTCTAGTTCAGTTCTAGTTCAGTTCTAGTTCAGTTCTAGTTCAGTTCTAGTTCAGTTCTAGTTCAGTTCTAGTTCAGTTCTAGTTCAGTTCTAGTTCAGTTCTAGTTCAGTTCTAGTTCAGTTCTAGTTCAGTTCTAGTTCAGTTCTAGTTCAGTTCTAGTTCAGTTCTAGTTCAGTTCTAGTTCAGTTCTAGTTCAGTTCTAGTTCAGTTCTAGTTCAGTTCTAGTTCAGTTCTAGTTCAGTTCTAGTTCAGTTCTAGTTCAGTTCTAGTCAGTTCTAGTTCAGTTCTAGTTCAGTTCTAGTTCAGTTCTAGTTCAGTTCTAGTTCAGTTCTAGTTCAGTTCTAGTTCAGTTAGTTTAGTTCAGTTCTAGTTCAGTTCTAGTTCAGTTCTAGTTCAGTTCTAGTTCAGTTCAGTTCTAGTTCAGTTCTAGTTCAGTTCTAGTTCAGTTCTAGTTCAGTTCTAGTTCAGTTCTAGTTCAGTTCTAGTTCAGTTCTAGTTCAGTTCTAGTTCAGTTCTAGTTCAGTTCTAGTTCAGTTCTAGTTCAGTTCTAGTTCAGTTCTAGTTCAGTTCTAGTTCAGTTCTAGTTCAGTTCTAGTTCAGTTCTAGTTCAGTTCTAGTTCAGTTCTAGTTCAGTTTCTAGTTCAGTTCTAGTTCAGTTCTAGTTCAGTTCTAGTTCAGTTTTAGTTCAGTTCTAGTTCATTTCTAGTTCAGTTCTAGTTCATTTCTAGTTCAGTTCTAGTTCAAGTTCTAGTTCAGTTTTAGTTCAGTTCTACTTCAGTTCTAGTTCAGTTCTAGTTCAGTAGCTGTTTTAGAAATGTCCATTACATTTTCTAATAATAGCAAATTATGTATCAACATTTTTGCTTGAGTGTACATAATAGTTTTGTACAGTTTTATTTATTTATACACACTTCTTATTTCTTATCAATATTAATGGAAACTTCCAAATTCTATTTTGAATTTAATCCGATAACTAAATAAACGTGTTGTTCTATTTACACTACATATTAAAGGTTATTTATTTATTCATAAAATTTGGTTTTCATTAAAATTTGTTTTCAACTCATTAAAACAGTAAATGTTGAGGTAGGTACTTTATATTTGAGTGCGTTCTAAAAGATAAGTAAAAAGATTTTACTATCAGTAAAATAACAAATTGAATGATTAAGCTAAATTTTAAAATTTAAACATATAAGTTCTGCCTAGTTTTATGATTTAAGGAAATTAAAAAGATGATAAGCATTAAAGCTTATCATCTTTTAAAAAGAAAACTTAAAAACATAAGAAGACAGGTGGGCGGGGTCCATGTGTACTTGGTTTTGTAGATAAGTATTTGTTTTTAATGAACTTTAAGTTTGTTATTTTATAATCTAATTTTGATTTCAAGTTTTTGTTTTGTATTAGTTTTTATAGATTTTAAATTAGAACTATAAAATACTTTTCATTGATAAAATTAATGCAAGCCATTTGACACTAAATATTTATATTCGAGATAACAAAGAAAAGTTATTTTGATGTATGTGTTTTGTACAGTTAATTATTAGCAATAAAAATTTAAAAAAAAATCATTCTTAAACGAATACATATTTGCTATTGGCTTCTCTTTCAGTTTAAGTATCTATAATATTTTCTCTTTAAACAGCAATGTTTAAAAGTTTAAAACAGGAAATTTAACTAACAAATCTAGTTTTCTCTTACCACCTTCAAACTTACTACACTACATTTCACTCGCAATTAATATCGCAAC